GATCGACCAATAATATACAAGTAACACAAGTGAAGCAAATATGATATATAATAACTAGGTGGGGAGAAGGTCATACTACAGGGCATTTCAACATAGTGACAGTGCAAAAAGGTAAGATTGCCTGGGAGTGAATACACTGATTGATTACAAGTTATTGATAATTTTTTCAATGGTTGGGACTGGGCTGTTCTTATAGCGATCAGTTCGTGCACGTATGGGCTGGATGCGGTTGTGGTGTCGAACAGCAGTTCTCGGACGAGGGATCTCGAGTGGTAGTTGGAGCCGGTGTCGAGGATGGTGCAGAAACTTCTCACCAAATTTGCAGATGAGGTCGTGGTGATGATCAGAGAGAGCCGAGAGGGTCAGTGTGTGGGGGGGGGGAGGAACGTTTCGGTTACAGACACACACACACACGGACGTACAGTTACATGGTGTAATATTTACCCCGAAGTTGCCCTTTCCATTGTTGTCTTGTGTTGTTAGGTTAGTCATCGACAGTTAAAATTAGAGACAGAAGGAGAGAAGAAAGAAGGAAGGAAAACAGAGACTAATGATTTAATTAGACAGAAAGAAAGAGGAAAGAATAAGTCAGGAAGGAAGGAAAACAAAGACTGATGATTTAAAGAACACTGTAGAGTGAGTAAAGCGGCTGGGGGGGTGACTCATACAGACAAATACTGGACCACATGACCCTTGACATAAAAAGACCTCGTTGACCGCTTTTCTAACCAGCGGGATTTTTTGTGTAATTTTTGTAACCGGTATTTAGCTCTCTCTCTCTCTCTCTCTCTCTCTCTCTCTCTCTCTCTCTCTCTCTCTCTCTCTCTCTCTCTCTCTCTCTCTCTCTCTCTCTCTTGCTTGCTTAGGTAATGCAGGTGTAATCTTGAAACTCGTCTAACGTCACACACACACACACATTGCTTGAAGCGTGAATAAAATAGTTTTATTATTTTTTTATATATAGCAATAAAGAAAGTGGGAAAAAAGAGAGGTTATAGCGGGCAGAATACCGTGACTTGGAGACTGGTCGAGGCTCCGGGTTGGGTAGGTTTCCGGTTGAACTTTTACGCATGTGTACAGAGGCGTGTGTGTGTGTTGACGATGATGAAAGTTTACTAGGTTAAAGAGCGTAGCTGTGTGTGTGTGTGTGTGTGTGTGTGTGTGTGTAATAATAATAATAATAATAATAATTAACGGTTTATTGAAAGAGCTTGGCAGCCAGAAGGCTGAAAATATACAGTTACAGTGTGTGTGTGTGTGTGTGTGTGTGTGTGTGTGTGTGTGTGTGTGTGTGTCACTTCCTATACTGTACTAGAAGGCGGTATTATGACTCGCTAAGACTATCTATCAACACGTATTATGCTCCCCCTTCCCCTCCCCTCTACAAAGCCTCCTAACCCACTTTTCTTCATTCTTTACGATCATTGATGTAAATGTGAAATATCTAGAACGAAAAAAGACATACACACAATAACCAGACAATATTACAAGGCTGAAGGAAACAAAATGGCCGCTGGTAATGTCTGGGAGTTCGATGTACCTAAGAAAATGTCAGTCAGTGGTTGTTTCTTTTAGATAAGTTAATTGCCCGAGATGTTTTAATTGGTGGTGGTGGTGGTAGTAGTTGTGGTGGTGGTGGCGGTGAAGGAGGTAGTGGTGAAAGAGGTGGTAGTGAAGGAGGTTGTGGCGGCGGCGTGTACCCAAAGTCTTCATCTGTGTTACTGTGGGAACGGTAAATAGAACGATTCACAAGCTCCGAGTTTCACTTCCTAACCTAACTCGATGGTGATAGTGGTGGTTAGGAGGAAGGGGGGGTAGTGGTAGTAGTGGTGAAGGTGGGGGTTAGTGGTAGCAGTGGTGGAGGTGGTGGTAGTAGTGGTGGAGGTGGGGATCGTGGTGGTTTTGATAGTAGTAGTGGTGGTTGTGGTAGTGATGGAGGTAGTAGTGCTGAGGTTAGGTTAGGTTAGGTTAGGTTACGTACACCAAATACGACGCGCCGGGTTATTCCAACACTGTAATGGTGCATAATTCCCCTTGTGTTCCCTCCATTAAGTTCCCACACTCCTGTATTTTGGGGGTGTTTAGCGACCCCCCTCCCCCCCCCTCCCAAACCTCACCTTTACTGACCTGACTCATAAGGTTATTTCCTCTGAGGTGTGTGTGTGTGTGTCAAGAGGACTTATTACTGGGCTGCATTTTATTTTATTTAAACTCTCTCTCTCTCTCTCTCTCTCTCTCTCTCTCTCTCTCTCTCTCTCTCTCTCATTTTACTTAATGTTAAATAACTAGTCCAGTACTGTATATGTATATTATTTTTTTGGGGGGGGCGGGGGTCGGTCGTGGATGAAGATTATAATTAATTAAAATTGTTCAGTGTAATTATTTATGTTGTCGGAAAAAATTGAAAGAAATTTACGTCGATGTAATTAGGGAAATGTTCAGCTGTGGTGACGTCAGCCGGTGTGGAGGTGTGGGAAGAACTTATAGCGTTCGACTGTGACCAAAAATTTTATTATTATTATTATTATTATTATTATTAGTAGTAGTAGTAGTAGTAGTAGTAGAAGTAGAATTATTAGTAGTTATAGTTATAGTAGTAGTAAAAGAAATCGTAGTTATGTTGTTGTTATCATTCAGTTCATGGGTGCATTATCAGACACACGGCCTCTTACGGCTTGTTGGGACCCACTTTCACTCTTAATCTGACAGTGAAGGATGGTGATTGGGCGTCGTTAGTGACTGTGATAACTGACTGGTTGACTGGTTGTTTGGGTGGGAGGGGGGGAGGTTAAGGTGGGGTAAGTGGAGCTATAGATGTGGGAGAGGGAGGGAGTGACAGTAACCAGATGTTGACATTACTCTGGCAGATGACGTCACTCCACCCTATCATGAAGTCGGTCACTCATCATATAAACACAAACAAACAAACAAACAAACAAAGATCATTTATCATAACTTAATCGAAACATGTACAGTAAGTCAGGTCGAGAGATAAACGTGATGACTCTTAAATATTAGTGAATTGTTTATATATCTTAATTATGTTTTAGTAAATGATCGTTGTTGCCAGTCTAACCTAACACCGTTCACTAGGTTAGGTTAGGTTAGTGCTAGGTTAGTTTAGGTTAGTGCTAGGTTAGTTTAGGTTAGTGCTAGGTTAGTTTAGGTTAACGGTAGCGTGGTTAACCTGGAGCTGGGAGGGAAGGGGGAGGGGGTCGAATCTACACCTGACCTCAATTCTATCATAACATTTAATAGAAGTCTCACTCATTACCTCTGGTCTAAGCCATCTTCACTATTGTAACCAAAAGGTAAAAAAAAAAAGACTCAGGTGTGCATCTCGTAATTAAGTGAACACCCGCAGCCAGATGACTTGAGATGGGCTAATAATAATAGGAGTAAATAGATGAAATTATGGAACTAGTAAAGATGAATAATAATAATAATAATAATAATAATAATAATAATAATCACTTAAAATTGTGGTTGAAGTGTGTGTGTGTGTGTGTGTGTGTGTGTGTGTGTGTGTGTGTGTGTGTGTGTGTGTGTGTGTGTGTGTGTGTGTGGTGGTTGCCGCGGTATCTGGCACAGGTGTTAGGCAGTGGTGGTGGTAGCCGGGGTTGGTAGATCTTGGCTTGTACACCTTCGTTATATCGTATCAGCTCGTTTGGCTTGTCTCTCTCTCACTCATTATATAACACTCTTGGCGGGTCTATTATCTCCTGGGGTAATAATATAAGTCAATATTTCTCCTTTGGCAATATTGTTGTGTTGTGTTTATCTCCCGTCAACAGTGTGGTGGGAGGGAGCAGCTCTCTCTCTCTCTCTCTCTCTCTCTCTCTCTCTCTCTCCGTGTGTGTGTTTGTGTAATAATTAACTATGTGTAGAATGTCTATATTATTATTAGTAATATTTCATTAGTATGTTTATTATTACTACTATTATTACTATTGTCATCATTACTACTACTACTACTACTACTACTACTATTTTTTTTTTAAACGTGGCTTCCAGCCTCCCCCAATAGCCACACCTTCGCCACCATTTAATTACCTTAATATTAAATATCCTAATACATAAGTAGCTATCCTATCTGTGTTAAATTAGTTGAGCCGCAGATCTATGCGGCATTCAGTGACAGTAGCCTCATAGTCAATATCTGCAGCAGTTGTCGGAGTTGGGGCAGAAGCTCTCGTTCCCCTGAGGCAGAGCAAAGCCGACCGAAGGAGAGAGAAAGACAGTCGACATCTCATCCAGGCTGTAACATAACTTCTGGGCTGCTGCTTCTGTTCGGAGATCAACTCCGCGAGTCTGGCGTAGAAACATCTTGCACTTGGTCCCATCCCACCAGAGGTTGTGAACACTAGAGGAGTGAAGCTGCCTTGATCAACGTTTTGAATTCTCTCCCCATATGCCCTTCTCTTGTCGTTCTCGTTCCTCCTATGTGCAGCATCGAGAGCTAGGTTACGGTGACATGCGGCCATGGGATCAAAAATCCTGATGTCGAAGAAAGCTCGCTGTCCCCGCGTCCAGAATCCTCGAGCACTGACGTCCACACGGGCTTCGTTAGATGTGTTTGAAGTCCTGTGTTGGAAGATCTCACCATCCAATGGAAGGAGGGTCGGTTCTACCATGACATCCCGGCAGATTTCCTTCAACATATTTGCTGTTAGATCCCTTACTTCGTCATGCCTCATGCATATGAAGCCCCCCTTCTTGTACACCATGGCGTGATCGCCATCATAGGAAGAGCCATACACGCATTGGGAGGGCAAACCTTCGACTGGCCGACCGTACCTTAGAGCAATGGCATCTGTAAATTCTTGTTTATTAAGACTGAAACCATTTGCCCTTATCGGTAACGTAGTTAACCAGTTCGAGGCGCCCACCTCCTGCGCTATAGCTACTTTTTTTTTCAAATTTTCTGGTACCTGCAGCAATAGTTGCTGCAACTTATCATTTTGACTACTACAACAACTATTCTTCTTCTCCTTCTACAGGTATGGTCGGGGAATCCATGTCACCGGGGTCTTCCGTGTCGTCCGGGGTGTGGTCGTGGGTGGATGGGCCGTCACCTTCCTCGTCCTCGTCGTCGTCCTCGTCACGTTCACCCACCCACCGCTCAGTCACCCCCTCACCCCCCCTGTCAGAGTCATATCCCCTTAACTCACCCAACCTGGATGACGGACTTGATCTGGATGACTCCCTCTTCGATGACGCCGTCCCCAGGAAACGACGGGTGAGTACAAGCGTAGATAGATAGAGAGATAAAGTAGATAGATAGAGATAAAGTAGATAGATAGAGAGATAAAGTAGAGAGATAAAGTAGATAGATAGAGAGATAAAGTAGATAGATAGAGAGATAAAGTAGATAGAGATATTAAGTAGATAGATAGAGAGATAAAGTAGATAGATATTAATAAGTAGATAATTTATGTAGAGAAGTAGATCGTTATAGCTATGAGGTGTGAGGCAGACCTGACATACGAGTGTGTTTGTGCCAACTAGGTGTGAGTCAACCCCCCCCCCCCTCTGTCATGCTGTAGAAGAATAATAATAATAATAATAATAATAATAATAGTAGATGTAATGATGATAATAAAAACTACAGCAACAATAATTATAATAACAACTAAAACAACAGTAATAATATCAAAAGTTATCATTTAAATATTGAATATTTGGCAGCAGACAACACCAGGACCTTGTGATATAGTGTAACAGAGGATATGGTGTGAGAGAGAGAGAGAGAGAGAGAGAGACGGACTTGACATAATATCTTACACGACCAGGAGATAAAACTGGTAAATGCCACCGAGAGATACACGGACTAGATCACACGTTCGTAAAATTGTCGGGTTAGTTAACATAGGCGGCGTGCCACCACTAGTTAACATAAGCGGCGTACCACCACTAGTTAACATAGGCGGCGTGCCACCACTAGTTAACATAAGCGGCGTGCCACCACTAGTAAACATAAGCGGCGTGCCACCACTAGATAACATAGGCGGCGTGCGCACAATACGGCGTTGGTTAACATAGACGGCGTGCCACCACTAGTTAACATAGCGGCGTGCCACCACTGCTAGACGGCGTGTTATGCCACCACTAGTCTGGTTAAGCGGCGTGCCACCGCTTAGTAGGCGGCGTGCCACCAAGACTAAGCGGCGTGCCTGGTTTAAGACAACCTTGACATTCCTAACATAAGCGGCATGCCACCACTGGTTGCGGCGTGCCACCACGGGTTAACATAAGTGGTTAACATAAGCGGCGTGCCACCACTGGGGCGTGCCACCGGGATTAACATAAGCGGCGTGCCACCACTAGTCACAAAGCGGCGTGCCAGGGAGTTAACATAAGCGGCGTGCCACGCTGGTTAACAAGCGGCGTGCCACCGCTCACGGCGTGCCCAACTGGCGGCGTGCCACCACTGGTAAACATAAGCGGCGTGCCACCACTAGATAAGGGGCGTGTCATAGGCGGCGTGCCACCACTGGTTAATATAGGGAGCGTGCCTCAGGAGGATAAGTAGTTAACATAGACGGCGTGCCACCAGGGCGGCAGGGAACATAGGGCGTGCCACCACTAGTTATGGTTAGGTCAAAGTTAACATAGAGGCGGCGGTCAAGGGAGTGCGCCAGGCGGCGTGCCACCGCTGGTTAACATAGGCGGCGTGCCACCACTGGCCACCACTGCGGCGAGTTAACATAAGCGGCGTGCAGTTACAAGACGGATTAACATAAGCGGCGTGCCACCACTAGTAACGTGGAGGTCACAGTTGGGCGTGCCACCGGTGTGCCACCACTGGGCGGCAGGCGGCGTGCCACAGAACATAAGGGAAAAATAAGTTAGGCCACAAGGGAACATAAGCCAGCGGCATGTTACTAGGTCACATAGACGAAAAGCCACCACTAGAACATAGGCGGCGTGCACCGACTAGTGTAACATAGGGAGGTACGTGAGGGAGGTACTCTTGCTGTATAAATCTAGTTCGAGGAAAGACCAACTTGCAAGACACCTCGACATTCCTAGGATGTTGTGGGCGGGGTGATCATGTCAGGGAGTGTCACAAGGAGGGAGGTGTCATGGCCATGTCATGGGAGTGTCACAAGGGGAGGGAGGTCACATGGGAGTGTCACAGGAGGGAGGTGTCATGGGAGTGGTCACAAGGGAGGGAGGTGTCATGGGAGTGTCACAAGGGAGGGAGGTGTCATGGGAGTGTCACAAGGGAGGGAGGTGTCATGGGAGTGTCACAAGGGAGGGAGGTGTCATGGGAGTGTCACAAGGGAGGGAGGTCTCATGGGAGTGTCACAAGGGAGGGAGGATCATGGGAGTGGCACAGTGCCAGGGAGGTCGAGAGTGCCATGGGTGTGCTTGAGGATCTGCCGGGTGTCAGAATCAGCTGTTGGCTTGGCTCCGTGCCAGAGGTCTTGCCATACACGGGGCCGACAATAATAGTGGTGGTGTAAGAGTGAGTATACAGTACACACACACTCCCGAAACTTATCATTACCGTACTGATAGCTGGTGGTAACTGACCTTGTTGTTAAGGGAGCCTGTCTACCTCTATACCTGCCTGCCTCACACTGCCTGCCTACCTCATAATGCCTCTCTGCCTGCCTAACACCACTGTACACAAACACCCACTATTTCTTGATGACTGTAATTACGTGGATCATAAGTGAAAAACTTCTCCAACACCCGCGCCATCATGACAACTGGCTTCTGGCTTCCATCTGGCTACGTCGTTTCCCTAGCCAGCTGGAGGGAGCAGGTTGTAAACTTTAGTTTTGCTGCTGAAAGTGTTGGAACTAGTTGGGTGTTGTGTAGAGTCGAATTGTGTTACTTGTGGAAAGGTGGCAACTTTGGTACCGCCTGTTGCATCTCGCATTCCCCCCCCCACCCCCCTCCGTCTTTTCTCCTTCCCTGCTTCCCTCCCTCTCTACCTCCCTGCTTCCCTCCCCCTCTCTTTCCTTCTCCCTCCCTCCCTCCCTGTCAGGCCACAGTCTTCGCCCAAATAGCCAGGACAGCTTTCATCTTGTTGCTCGTATTATATTTCACTCAAGGCTTGTGGCAGTCGTGCACTCTCATGTTATATATATATATATATATATATATATATATATATATATATATATATATATATATATATATATATATATATATATATATATATATATGCTGATAACCACTGTTATTATTATTATTATTATCCACCCATCCACTTATTCACCCCCGTCGTCGTGTACCTAACCACCCCTCAGCGACCTCGTCAGCATGTGTGTTACTAGGCTGGGCACTTGGTGTCCGTGGCGTGAGGTGTTCCCAATTCATCCCCACCAACCTATTGGGGTCACCATGCCGGCCGGTCTGGTGATCCTGGCTGGTGAGGGGGACACGTTTGGTACTTGTTGGTGATCTATATGTCTGTCTGTCTGTCTGTCTGTGTCTTTCTGTTAGTCTGGATGTGTTTATGTCTGCCTGTTGTAAAATAGTATGCTATGCTTAGTTTTTGCAGGGTGGAGATGTGGACTCTCTCTCTCTCTCTCTCTCTCTCTCTCTCTCTCTCTCTCTCTCTCTCTCTCTCTCTCTCTCTCTCTCTCTCTCTCTCTCTCTCTCTCTCTCTCTCTCTCTCTCTCTCTCTCTCTCTCTCTCTCTCTCATTATTCTGGTCTTATCTCTTTCTCTCTCAAAGATATACTATTAGGGTCATTCTCTCTCTCTCTCTCTCTCACACACACACACACACACACACACACACACACATATATATGCACACATTATTGGGGTCACCATAAGTGCTGGTGATCTCAGTGTGGTAGAGAGAGAGGTGCTGTGTTGTTTTGACTGGTGATTAAGTGAAAGTAGTTGAGGTGTGTGTGTGTGTGTGTGTGTGTGTGTGTGTGTCTGTCTGTCTCTGTCTGTCTCTGTCTGTCTGTCTCACAACTTACCTATCTATCTCTGTCTCTGTCTGTCTGTTTGTATCTAATTTTACACCTTACCGTAGTCAAGTCAGTCAGTCAGTCAGTCAGCGAGTCAGTAGTCGGTTAGCCAGTCAATCAGCCAGCCAGCCAGTCAGAATCGTTGTCACATACATACAGTTAAAGGAAGAAATAAACGTATCTCTACGATGTTCTCAGAATCAGGAAATTAGACCTAATAAAAGTGGACCAAAAAGACACATACATTATATATTTACACTATATCCTGACCTAACCTATCGTATCCTGACCTAACCTATCGTATCCTGACCTAACCTATCGTATCCTGACCTAACCTATCGTATCCTGACCTCACCTGACCTAACCTGTGCTAGAAAAAAAAATAGAATACGGATTTTTGAGGTGTGGTGTTGGTGGAGTAGGAAGAGGAGGAGGCGGAATGGGAGGTAGAGAAAGAGGAGGAGGAGGAGGAGGAAGAGGAAGAAGAGGAGAAGAAGAAGAAGAAGAAGAAGAAGAAGAAGAAGAAGAAGAAGAAGAAGAAGAAGAAGAAGAAGAAGAAGAAGAAGAAGAAGAAGAAGAAGAAGAAGAAGAAGAAGAAGAAGAAGAAGAAGAAGAAGAAGAAGAAGAAGAAGAAGAAGAAGAAGAAGAAGAAGAATGCTACTGCTGTTGTATACATGTTAGTCTTAGTGTCATGGTGTCCAGTTAAGTGAGATGAAAATGTCTAGAAAAACTTGGCGTTATAAAAATGGGAAACCTTTTGTGTGGATGCTGTTGTAGGTGTTGTTGGGCAGGTGAACAAGGCCACCCTGCCACCCCTCCCCCGTGATGACATTTTGAGAGTATGGGGGAGAATTAATACTTCCTTGTTGTTATTAGGGTACTCTCTCTCTCTCTCTCTCTCTCTACACACACACACACACACACACACACACACACACACACACACACACACACACAGTGTCCCCCCCACCACCACCACCCAAACACCGTGGCGGCAGCGTTTGACATTTTACCCCAAAGTCGATGTTTTTGGGGACGTTGGAGATGATGGTGATGGTGGTGGTGGTGGTGGTGGTGGTGGGCGTGATAGTGGGCGTGATGTGATAATGGGCGTGATGGTGGACAGGGGTGATATAGTGGATTTTTGGCGTGACGATGGGTGTGGGCGGGATAGTGATAGTAGACATGATAGTGAGCATGGGCGTGATGGATGTGGGCGTGAGGGAGGTGGTGTAGTAGTAACAGGGTCTCGGCAGTAGTAGGGTAGTTAGTGAGTATTGATTCGTCTACCCGACCAA